CAAACTTAAAATGTTTATTTGTGTCCGACACAATGTATTGACTGTAGTTTAATGCGTGTTCTTATGAGTCTGGGCTCACAAAGATTTTACAATTACTGGAAATGCGTTTTAATAATAAGCATTAAATAATGCCAAAATGGGGCATTTTCAATGCCTCACTGCTCCTTAATGAGCATGGGCACCATCCTTTTTTATTTCAAAATTGAAGGTGTCATATGACAAATATTCAGTGGACAAAGTTTGAACAAAAATCTATTGTCACTTTTATTTCAGAGGAATTACCTTAAGCAGCTGTAAAATTTAATTCTGAAAAAAAAAGGCTTGAACGGGATTCGAACCCATCGTTTTTTTTTTCAGCCTTTATTTTCACAGCTGTTTGAGTTGTGTAAATAACTGCAATGATCAATCATGTCTTAATCTCTTTCTCCGCAGTTCAAATATACGATCGTTCATGCATTCACTTGCACACAATAAAGACGTTGGCATTACCTGCGAGAGGTGGTCCAGCGATAGACGTGATGGCCATGAAGAAGAACTGAACACCGATACCCGCGGCAACCTTGTCCACACCAACGATATCCGCGCACAAGACTGCCAAGAGTACCACGAAACAACCATCAAACACACCGAAAACAACCATGTACACAACGAGACCGGCGTAACTCTTCGTCAACGTGCTCAAAGTGTCCGCCACGCCGATGGCCAACATCGCTATCTGGAAGCAATAGAGTCGGTTCACTCTCGGGTGGTCACCGAGTTTGCCGAAGAAAAGCCGACCGAAAGTCGAGCCTACGGACATCATACCAATCAGCGTGGAAGACTGCGAGTTTGGTATGCCGCACTCTTCGGCGTAAGCAGGCTATTAAACGAAAAAAAAAGAAGAAACTTTTGATTACTTTTAAGGCACTTTTCCAAGCTAGGCAAGTTACATGTTTTTACAGTGAAGGGCACAAGATTACTTACCAAATGTACAAAAGGGACGAAATACCCCATCATAAAAGCGCTCAAAGAAAGACAGTATATCAAGAAAGCTTTGTTCTTGAAAATAGTGAAGTCAAACATTGGCGGCTTCTTACGTATGGGTTCTTCCACTTTCTCCACCTCTTTACCAGTTTGACTGGGCACTTTATACAGCAGGGACCCAATGGTGCACAAACTCAATATGCCTCCAAGCACCCTCGCTGCGTGGGCCCATCCCAGATAGTTGACTGCAAGCTGCATGAGGGGACCCATTGCTATCGTGCCCACGCCACTCCCAGCCGTTACGATACCGTTTGCAAGACCGATTCGCCTACAGAAATAGAAACGAAAAAAAAAAATCTTAATAAATTTTCAAACAAAGTGACAAACTAGCGACAAGCAATGAAACAAACGACACAAAATCACAAAGGCTTTCTCAATTGATCACTTGCCTTTCAAACCAATATGGAAGCGACCGAAGGGTTGGCAAGTAACTCATGCTCGCCCCTACCCCCCACAGGACGCCAAACGTGATGTAAAGGCGATGAACGTCTTTGACGAATGAAGACAACACAAATCCCAGAACTCCAAGCAAACCGCCACAAAACGCCACTACCCGACAACCAACGCGTTCACACAATGCTGACGTCACTGGCGCAAAGAGAAACATCATCCCGAGGCCGATTGAAACAACCCAGCCTAAAAAATACAAAAAAATTTAATAAAAGATAAATTCAAACAACTAGACGTTATTCTCATGTGGAATGTCAAAAGCTAGTAAAAATTGGAAATCAAACTTGATACAGAACTTCCTCGGACGTGACATTATCATTTCATCAATGTATATTTATTCATTGATACTTAAAATTTGACAGTCATTTGCCCGCAAGCAAGTAGAGTCCAAGTTCAATCTATTATAATCCGGAAAGCTGATCCACTATTTTTAAAAAGCTTACAGAACGAGATTGCCTTACAGCTCGTTTTAACGTCCCGCTCACGAATCGTGAACATTCTTTTTCCTTTTCAGAAATTGTCCCAAAAGTTTCAATCCGAAAAATAACTTATTCAAATGCAAATTTAAAAACGTTTTTATTGGATTTACGACAGTAGAAATCAAGTTTGAACTGGTTCTGTTGCCCAGAGAAGCGCTGTTTGCAAATAAATTCTGGTTTGTACCCGTGGAAACCTGCGATGTCTCAAAACAACTTTTCAGTGATGAATTAAAACAAAACACGGAAACTTTGGAGAGAGAGGGAACGATATGCGTGGGTAAGATGGACAACGGACTGGTTTGTTATAAAGAAGCCCGGAAAAGGTCAACTACTAGGGTGGCTTGCCAACAGATGCCGATATTTAGCTGTTTATTTAGGAAATATAAGAATTTCCTACTGAAGGAGGCATTTTGGACGTTTCACAGGCAATTAGAGAAACCACAAGCCAAGATTTAAGCTTTGCATTGGTTACGCAACGTCTCTCTAAACAAATAACATCTACCCACACTTTGTTTAATTTCACAATGATTTATTCCTATGTTTTTTTTTCCGTATTAGCACAAGACAGTGATTGAATGCCGATGCTGCGCCGCGCGCCACGAGAACACGTCTATGCTCTTCAGTCCCTCATCTCCCAAATGGCTACATCATCTCATTTTACAACTCAAGCAACCCAAGCTTGGGGCTTCTCCCTCTCGCCTTTTCTAAGGTTGTGACACATATTTCCCCTGACAGACTTCATTTGAGCTGCTGCGGTACGACAACGGATGTACACTGAATAGCCCCTAACATTTGTCACTTGCGCGACTTCTCGCGAGTGCGACTCGATAAAATTCGATAAAAGCAAACAGGGGTTCTGTTATCGCAAACGAGCAGTTTTCAATATGTTTATGATCTATATTACATGACCACTCACACCAAAAACAAAGTTATCGAATTTTGGAAGATCAGTAAATAATTTTAACTCGCCCATGAACTTAGATGAGACTGAAATGATTGATCGATCGACTGATTGACAAGGGTCTCTTACAAGAAGCTCAAAACAAATATTGCAACATGTACGTGAGGACTCTTACAGGCCCCGGGAAATAACGAAGCCTTTGTTCCGTTGATGTAACAAATGCATGAATACAAATGGAAGTACCGTTAAATTGGAAAAAGTACTGAACAAAATAAATCTTTATTTAATTTTTAATTAAAAGAAAAATTGTACCGGAGACATCACACTTGCCTGGAAAGTAGACCTGTGCTTCCGAAGACGCCACGCGAAGTTAAAAATGTTCGTGCACATTTTCCGAAATCCAGATTAACTGGACTTTCGCGATTGTAAACTTCTTAACTAGGATCATAAGGAAAACACGATTGAAACACAGAGGCTTTCATTAGCCAAAGTGTGGCCAATTTGTCAGCGATTTGCATGTCAATGAGTGCAAGAGTTGTTTTTGTGGCATGCAAATCAATTGCTGCTCACATCTAGGCGATATCAGGGTCCAAAACATACCGAAAATCAAATGTTTATCCCGAAATTACGCTTACAAAACGTTTCTTTGCAAAGGTGGTTTATTTCCTGCCCATGAAATGAGCCATTGTTGCTATCCACAATGCAACGACATACAAAACAAGTCGCACGAGCTTCGGAGTTGTTTACCTGAAGTGCGATGTGCAAAATTATCTTCCCCAAGGTCAGCAAAGTACTGTAATTACATAGTAGAAACATATTGTTACCTCTAGCAGAAAAAAGCACTCGATTGATATTTACAAACGCACTTGTTTTTCTTTTGCTTTGCGGATGCCGAAGTGGCATTCTTTTCTGAACTAAAAAGGAGTTATAGGTTTGCGGGAAACGCAGCACAAATTGTACAAAGATGGTTAATTTATTGTGTTAAATGTACAGAAAAACATGTGTGCGTTATTCATGTCAGCAGGGAACGGAAATGCATGCGCTCAAATGTCGCAAGACCGATAAAGGGGCGAGGAAAACTGCAAATTAACCCACAAAATCGAACGATTGCGAGGTATGAAGTTGTCCATCGACTTTGACGGAAGAAAGAGAGAATAAGGTCTGCGCAAAGGTTGCAAATTTGCATACCGCTTGCCTTGGCATTGATATTTCACTTCCGGTAATGAAATGTCACATTGAAAAAATTTATAACGAACGCAGCATTTTCCAGTTCGTCTGTTTTTCGCATCCAAACCGTTGTGGATTGATCACACGAAAGCAAAATCACCTGAAATTTACTTCCAACCAGCAAAGTTTAAACAAAAGTTCCATACATGTCGGAAATCAATGTTCATTCCGCTCGCAAACCAAACCCGGTAATTAACAATGATGCCAGAATATTCGTCTTTCTTGCGCGTTCAAATCGACAGATTGCCGAACTTTCCCGAGATAACCCTGTTGAAGACAAAATATTACTTTGGCGTTGTTGATTTACAGCGTCGAGTTTATTGGTTGGCTCCTCACATCCGGTAATTTTGCGGTCGGCTTCAAATTTTTTTTCTTAACCCGCTCGCGACTGAGAACTTCTGACGATCGCTCAAAGTGTGACTATTCGAACAAACTGAAAGATATATAGATAGGTTGTGCACTCGCGCTGTTTAAATAAATGTAACTTTACAACAAGGAGTGGATCGCAAAATAGTTTTCCATTGGATGTTTGGATAAATAAACCGAAAATCGAACGGCAGGATTCAAACGCGTAGAGTTGACATTTCGAACGGAACAAGCGCTCTTGAAATCATGTTGAAGAAGATAAGAGACTTCGCGATGACTTGCTGGACTATACATTGCAAGAAATTCAAACTACATACTTGTTTCTCCTTTGCTTTGCTTGAATTCCTCCAACAGCGCCTTGTAGATAATGCCTGTATTGTTCTGTATCCCGAGCACAACGAATTGAGCGATGAAACCGGCAAGACAAACTAGCCAACCCCATCCACCGTCCGGTACAGAGCGGACATGAATTTCTACCTGAATTTTCTCGATTTCTTTGCTTTCCTTGGTGTCCTTTCCCATGATTGCAAGTATTCGGGCAAATTCTTCAAACGAGAGCTGCGAGACCTGAAAATGTGATGTTTTATAAAGCTCTCTCTCAACACGCTCCACTCTCCAAGCGAGCAAATTTCAGGTGAAGGGAAAAAATTTTTTTGCCGAGCTGAAACTTTAGATAACATATGACGTCATGGACACCCGGAGGTCCAACACGCCCTGCAATTGGTTAAAATAATGGCATGATCAACAGCGAATAACAGGGCAGATCCTTTGTTATACTTCAAATAGCTCTCGCCCATAAGTGGACAGCTGAACAAAGGATTTGATAAAAATAGCTCACGGGTTTTGCATGTGATCGTGTGCGTTTGCACTTCAAACACGGCGCAAATTCGCGTTTCCAACACCGATATATTGCCTCTAGTGGATTCAAAAAAGCTGTATTTTATTCAGGTGAACTTTACATGATATAAACTCTGCTGGAAGCAGTACCTGCCTTTGACAGGTTTTTTTCTGTCATGACGTACAACAACTCGTCGCTCTGATTGGCTACGCCTAAAATAAATGAAATAAACAAGTACCTTTTATGTACCTGCACGGGCAGGAGATAACACCAGAGGTTCCGGAGTTTCTCGGTCCATGTTGTTTTACATATGAGGTGGGGGTTTTCCCTGAAATGGACGAAAGCACGAGGAGATTGCATCAGATTCTGACGTTGTTGCAAAATTGCCCTCTGGCAAAAATAATTTTGACGCGATAAATTATTCACAGAAACTCTAACGAAATGGAGTCGAGCTGTGAAAAAACATTTTTCTTTCGAGTGCGAGGTCTGAATAACGCCTCCTAAAATAGGAATCTTGCCTTTATAGCCTTACCACCTGCAAAAACCTACACACAAACAAAAATAATGCGAAGGTTTTGCTTCATGGTTAGTAGCAGTTTATAATTATTCGTGCGGATTTAAAACACGCCTAGTGCTAATGTATACAGTATTTTGATGTTGTACAGTTCGAGTTTCGGTTTTGAAGTCATCAACAACAATTGTCACACTGCAATTTTTGAATTAATAACATGAAGATGTAACCAGAC